TAAATAAATATATATATATATATATATATATATATAAAAAACTGCTAGATTAATGATGTTAACTATGGAGACTCGTCAAAGTCTGTGAAATGGGTGCTGTTTTGGTGCAAAAAAAACATTTCTTATTGTCAATGTTGAACAGTTTTGCTGCTTATTTTTGTGGAAACGTGATACATTTTTTTCAGGATACTTTGATGAAGAGTTCAAAATAACAGCATTTATTTGAAATAGAGACCTTTTGTAACATTATAAATGTCTACTGTGACTTTCAATTGCTTTAATACCTTTATTCAGAAAGGATGCATCCATTTCTTTAAAAAAAACAAAAAAAAAACAACAACTTTACCGACCACAATCTTAAAATATTTATATATTAAATGTAAATATTATCATGTATGTATTGTGATGCTGAATGCATATTTAAATGTATAAAAATGTGTTTAACTTGCATTTACATTTGGAGTAATGATAAAATATTCCAGTACAATGCGAAGACATTTCATCCATCTTTTTACATATAAGAGAGGCATCAAAAGCCCCAGGTTGGCTGGCTCTGGACCCAACTAAGTGCAGCAGCCACGTTGAAAAATCCCTTATGGCTTCCCAATGCTATGAGCTAGATGCTCTCTCACCACGTACTGAGTAAACAATTCACTCTTGCTCCAAGCGAGACACTGGGTACAATGTCAGTGAGTGATTTACAAGGCCACGGTTATATCAGTAAACAGCAGAAAGTGTTTAGAATATCCGACTCAACACGAGAGCTCAGGCAGATGCAGCAAGACAGTCCAACTGAGACAGCATGAGCGGCTGTGTGGGAAGGCGCTCTGCTGTGACTGACTGACACATGTTAGCACTGTATTTATCCCCTGGGAATGGACTACTGTACAGAGACAGCAGCGTGCTGAAAAGGCCAAGGGATCTTCATCTCTTCTGCTTCAGCCCGTCAATATCATCACACCTGGCAGTCTGTTCCATATCATTACTGCTCCTGCTCTCCTCCAAAACAGCTACCAGTCCCCTGGGAGAAGCAGTGACACAGCTGAGCCATAGCAGGAAACCAAATCTGCCATCTTTACTAGTGCTGAAGCGTGAGGGAGAGAACCACTTAGAGCAGCTCTTTATGACGGGGAAAAATAGGAAATGGTACGTCTAATAAAGAGTGCAGATGTGAATTATATATTCTGGAGAACACTATACAAGTCCAGGAGGAACAGCAACAGTTCCACTAAAAAAAAAAAGAATAAATACAATTCATGTGTATTCAAGTGATTATGGTCAGAAAATGACCAATTTCTAGGGATGCAACGATACCAATTTTTCAGAACCGATCCAATCCGATACCAGAAATTCTGAGTATCGGCCAATTCCAATCCGATCCGAGCACAGTTTTTTTTTAAATCAATGTAGAATTTCTATACTTCTGTATGTTGACCAGATCATCACTCTTGGGTGTGTTAAACACAATCTGCTAAATATAGACAACTTCATATTAATGAAAAATAACAAATAAAAAAAAATAGATAAGCATAATCTACGACAAAAAATACTATTATAAACTAGGTTAGTGGATAATTCAGCAGCAAAAGTTATTCTAGAAAAATCATGGGTGCACAATAATTTTATAAAAACATTAAACTGAACTAAACATTTAGTGAAACAACATTATTTAGTCCCGACACGGAGACCGCTGAACGCGCCTCTTTAAATGGTTTCGTGGTGCTCGTTATTGTATTTTAAAACACTATTGCAATGTTTTCAACTGACATTATGGCATTTATGATGGCAAATTATCCCAAACGTAACTGCGGCGCGTGTGGCTGTGCTGCGCAGTCAGTGAACCGCTTCCATCGGCGCTGCTGCAGCAAAACACACTGTTGCTAACATGAAACATTATTATCATGTGAGTATTATGACCAGTACTTAATTTGATCCACATGAAACATTTTTATGTGAGTATTATGACCAGTACTTAATTTGATCCTGCTGGATCCTGTTCCGGAATATGTCGGATTTTAAATTTTTGCCTTCCGGTAGGCCTATTTGTTTTTAAAAGTCCGGCATTTACAGTGCATTAGATCTTGACAGTGCATGCTTGCGGGCATACGAGATCCCCAACAGTGTCCCGCAGCCCTGCAACCTTCACCTAATTGTTTCAAATATGAAATAATTATCTGGGGAAATTACTGTTACTACATTTCTATTGCATTCCATGTTGAAGAACTTTGTGTTGTTTCTATTTTAATGTACTTTTAAAGTTGAAATCACATTAAAAGCTTAATTTGTAATTATGAGTGAATGATGATGCATTTATATACCGTCACCGTCACTCACAGCCGCTCGCACGTGTTTTGCGCATGAGCCGCACGCAGCCCAAAATTAAACTGCTTAATCGACCATCGATAGCTTTAATCGATTGCATCTCTTATCGACAATTAACCAATCATCGATTAATCGTTGACATCCCTAATACACACACACAACATCTGACAGATAGAACAGAACAAAAAAGACTATTAATAACCTTTCATTGCGCAAAATTATAATACAAAAGGGTATGGCTCCAACACAGAGCGGCACAAAGCACTTATGCGCATCCCATCCGCAGAATGATGCACTTGAAGCAACACAGAGTCACAGCGCGCAGCGCTCCGCATAGAAAAGTGAAGAGATATTGCTGCGTAGTGTATTATATCTGTGCGATATTTTATTGAGCCTTTTCTTTTAACAGTTTTAAATCTCAGTTATTGTGCGCTCGAAGAGAGTTTAATCTTTTTGACTGTAGTAACTTAACGCGACACGCAGTTTGAATGCTGAATGGAGGATAACAGACAGACGCAGCGGGGAGAAGAGTTTACGTCAACTTGACTTAAATATTCATCTATACTTCACATTAAACTATGGGATGGCTTCAGAACACTTAATATATAGTGCATGAAACATTTATGGTGTTTTATAATGTTTTTGTGCCGATCGTGTGGCTTAACAATAACACAGCATAGTATACGCACAATATCTGATTTGGATCGGTCTCGTCTGACCGATACCCGATCCGGCAGAAAATGGCAGTATCGGAGCTGATACCGATACTGAGTATCGGATCGATGCATCCCTACCAATTTCATGGGTAAGTTCAAACCACTCTCTCTTTTCCACTTCCTGACAAAGACATGAATCCTTTGAGAGCTAATACAACAATGAAAAGCAAAATATGTGTGTAACTGATGTTTTATGTACACAACCATTCAAACATTTGGGGTTAGTTTTTTTTTAATGTTTTTGAATGCCTCTTAGGCTCACCAATGATGCATTTACTTGATCAAAAATATGTTAAAAACAGTCGTATTGATGAACATTATCACAATTTAAAATGACTATTTTAAATGACTAAAACTACTGTTTTAATATATTTTAAAATTCAATTTATTCCTTTGATGTTAAAGTTATATGGGGCAGTCGCTGGCCTAATGGTTAGAGAGTCGAGTCGGACTTGTAACCTGAAGGTTGCGGGTTCGAGTCTCAGGTCCAGCAGGGATTGTAGGTGGGAGGAGTGAATGTACAGCGCTCTCTTCCACCCTCAATACCACGACTGAGGTGAGACCCTTGAGCAAGGCACCGAACCCCCAACTGCTCCCTGGGCGCCGCAGCAATATGGCTGCAAACTGCCCCGGGTGTGTGTTCACTGTGTGTGTGTGTTCACTACTGTGTGTGTGTGCACCTGGACGGGTTAAATGCAGAGCACAAATTCCGAGTATAGGTCACCATACTTGGCTACACGTCACTTAAACTTTCAGTAGTCACTACTCCAGTTCTCAGAGTTACATGATCTATCAGAAATCATACTAATATGTTGATTTGGTGCTCAAGAAACATTTCGTATTATTATTAATGTTGAAAACAATTGTGCTGCTTCAGGATTATTTGATGAATACAAAATGAAAAAGAACAGCACTTATTGGAAGTAGAAATCTTTTGTAACATTATAAACGTCACTTAAGATAAATTTAATGCATCCTTGCTGAATAAATAAATAATTTCAAAATAAAAAAATCTCACTGACCCCAAACATTTCAACGGTGGTGTATTTTTTATTCTTGGGGCGCCACAGAGGAGGATGAGAGATGGGGAATTTGATCTGATTTCCTCGTAAACAAGTTAAATGCACTGCTTTCTGGCAAGTTTCATCATTTTCCTCCACAGTACACAAAATGCATAAAACATTTCACAGTTACAACTTATGACTAACAGAAATTTGCTTCCACCATAATGCTTTAATTCAGACGTTCCCAACTCGGAAAGCCGTGGCTTAAAGAAAGTCGTAAATACATTCCTTTCGACATGACTTGAAATCACCATTAGTATCAGGGCTTAGTGTCAGCTGTGCAAAATGGCATTGTGCACCTGTCCAATTAAGGGCTTATGAGAGTAATCCAGATTCAATGTCATACCCGGTTCATTTGGTTTGCCATGCCACGGCCAGCCTGTTGTTGATTTTGTACACCACCAGCTGCCATGGTAACTTTCCTGATGGGACCAAGTCTCTGTTGGGGGACAGGCCGACCAATTGGTTGTTGCTGCTGCTGTGGGGGACCAGTGTTGGGACCGGCATCTGCCTGCTGAATACAGAGGAGACACATCTTACAACCCACACAAAGAAAATCTCCAGCAGCATACACAAAAAACGAATCAAAAAAACATTACAGTCCATCATGAAGTCTGATTGTATCACAAATATTCAAATGTAAACTGCTTATATCAAAAGTGATCATTAATACAATGGCAGTCTTACAGCTCACCAAAACGTACACAACGTACTGTGATCAGTTTAAACTGGCACAGCGTAACTGAATAAGCAAACAAAGTCACAATAAGAGACAAACGTGTTGAATTATGTGATGTGTTCGGTATAGCTGAATTAGACCTCTTTCAGAACAGTGATGACTGCATCTCTGAGCACAGATGGCATGGAAGTGGACCTGTTTGAGATAAACTGCCTCTGGCTCTTCCTCGAAATTCTCAGTCATTCTGTTCCCTCATCTGCAGGAAAACCTTTCAAAGTGCCTACGTTATCTGATGGCTGCTGGCAGTCTTTAGATGTTGAAGGCCTTGAAAATGGCCAGATTTAAGTTTTTCACAGGACCACTGAATCTCACAAAAAGGGCTCTTTTCATACTGTATAGGGCATGACAATGTGTTGTTGAATGTTAAAGGTTTTTGTGTCTATATGTTAAAGTAGATATGCGAGGAAAAATATATTTTTTATTTTAAATTGAAACGGTAAAATTAGACCCTTGGGATAAGATGCACAGAAGGTCCAAAGTGGTATGTTCTTGCTTCAGATATTTTTCATTTAATTTATTGAGTAATTTCTGTAATTCTAGAGTTATTTTTAATAGTTCAATTAGTTAGATGTACATTTCTGACATCTCTATTCATTAAAACCTATAGGCTAAGTGAAATCAGTCTATTTTAATGCATAGTGTTGCTATTATGGCATCATGCTCAATTAAAATGTGTAATTTAATGTGTAATTCTTTACATAAGTCACAGAATAAATTATTCTTTCAGATGATTATCTTTTACTGGGATTCTGCTTTGCCTGTTAATTTTCTTGTAATTATTTAACTAAATTGTCAAAATTGTAAACAGAATAGTTGATTTAATATTTTACATTCATGAAACATTAAATATATATAAATGAATATCAAATGTTATTTTCTATATTCTGCAAGTGTTTACCCAAGGGGGCTTCTAGCCCAGATAAGGGTTTTTTGAATAATTTTTGTCTAATTTTACATTGTGTGCAGTAACGATTAATTTAATAAATGTTTCTACTAATTTCCCTTAACACAACGGCTGATGTATCCTGCACATGTTAACGTATATCTAAATATGTTATGTGTTAATTTAAAAGTAAATAATTTAACAAACTGGTCTGTCTGTGACAGTAGGTTACACGCAGACACCATTTGTTATATAGAAATTATGTAACAGTTAATGTTTTACTGACACATAAAGCTTAGTTTTAATCCAAATGGTGCATGTGCGGAGTGAACAAACAGTAAACAAATGCCCGCAAAAGAAGTGCTCTCTCTTTCTTTCTCTTTCCTTCTTAGAAAAGATGTTATTGAAATGTACTATTGGGAAAAAAAAGACAATTTAACTACAAACGTTCCAACAATGTTGGGGAGAAAGAGATGTGCACTCAAAACGCTTGCGCATTTGTGCCACTGTGCACTCGATCTACTCAGCATGCTTTACTTATGTTGAAATAAGAATTTAATTAGTTTAAATGAGAATTTGTTTTATATATATATCAATCATAGACATCCTTCTTGAAAATATCCACTCTGTTCCCTGTTTGTTCTGTCATCAGTATTTTTTTTGGTGTGGAAACAAACACTGCATGGTATCGGTTTTCGTTATAGGAACATTTTAACGAGAATGAGTATGAGTGCATTAGCTGTATCGGGCCTGACAGCAATGCTAGTATTGTCTAGGTGCCTACATTTATCCCTAAATTTAATATTGTCCACTACAAGGAGAAGCAAACATCAGCATATATTCCTTATCTGACAGCAACACTTATATTCAGGCTTGTAAAGCATTAAATACTGTATGCTCCCTATAAACACATTCCTTCAGTCTACAACAAAGACATAATTGCCAAACCTGCTACATTCATCCTTTTCTCCCCATGTCTTTCAAAACCATGTGCATTATCTCAATTGCGTCTCCATGAGAGGGGGTTAATGGATTAATCTTACTCGATAGAAAATCCACACCTTCAGATTACATCTATCAGATGCACCGCTGCAATACACCAGGGCGGGGTGACGACACTTGACAAGCACCTCCCCTCCCCCACCCACCCAGTCACCTCCATCCCCCATGCTGCTTTTGTATGGCTCAGGCTTTGTATTCTTCCTGATGAAAATGTAATTTACTCTTATCTGTACGGCTAAGCTGGGGAAAAATACAAATCCGCCATCTCCCTTTCTCCCAGACTCTCGCAGGTATTATTACACCGATATCAACATAGACGAGGAAGATTAATTGCAGATGTCCCCAGACTGACACCTATTCTAACACACTTCAATGATGAGCTGATGGATGAATAAAGCGAGAGGCGAGACGAGATAGATGAAGAGAGTAACACCGAGCAAGCACAAGTTAGAAGGGAGAACAAGAAAGAGAGATAACATTGTCAGGCAGCTGAGGTTGACAGCAGGAGAAGAGAAGCACCTAGAGGATCAGATTCTCTCGGTCTGACACCCCCTCCCCCTTCTTCCTCTTTGTCAGTCAGAGCCACGGCACTTCAGATAGCTGCATGTAGCTTTCTATTAACTAAGTTGACACACAGTTATCTTCATCCACAGAGATTCTGCACTCAAAGGAAATATTTAGCTTCGCTTCAGGAAGGAGACTGGAAAATAATGTTTTCTCCTCATTCAATGCAGCAAATCATCTCTTAGAGCCCATAAATCATCCTTGGGTCCTTCTTTTCTTGATTGAGATGCAGAAAATGTCCTGCCAGATTTGTAAATAACCAGCTCAAACTCTAGTCTTAATGCTAAATGACTGCTGGAACCCTCAACATAAACGTCCATTAGGTCTTTCTCAAATTGTCACGTAAAACATCACCGTGACTTAAAGAAGACACAAATCTTTACAATGTCTGGATCTGTTGTCACTCAAAGTAAAGGCACAAATGCCAAGCAACTCGCTTTAATGACGCTAGAATAGTGCCATTTATGGGCTTAAAAGGTAAAAGTGTTCTGTCAATTAAGTGTGGTGTCACAAATCACAGCATAGAGACCACTTTCTGTATTGATTCTCTCAAAAAGAGAAAAAAGCATTATACTTTAAAGAGTTTTTAGCTCTAAAAACTTTAGTGGTCAAAAAAAGTAGACACCTTGACTTTTAGAGTAATTGGAAATCCTGCTTGTCGAGTTCAGAGTTCTATGATTTATTCTATAAAGAGCTCTGGTGACAACAACTTCAAAAAAACAAAACAAAAAAAAAACACCAAAGGACAAAGACAAAAAGAATCGAAAAAATCAGTGGCATATGAACTTTAAAGATCACATCTAGAGTTTAAACCGGTAACATTCACTCACCTCTCCTAGAAGCTTAACTACTCGCACTTTCTGTGGAACCTGTGGTGATTCTATGCTGCTCGCTCTTTGCATCACTGTTCTCTTTCCCCCAGGCTGAGGCTGACCCACTGGCACTTCTGATGGGCTGGTCTGAGCAGCACCTTGTCTTTGAGTGTTTTGTGGGGTCATGGTCCTCTTCTGCTGTGGTTGCCATTGGCCCTGCTGGCTGGCTTCAGGACCAGCGTTCTGTTGCTTCTGTGGCCCAGACCAGCCTGAAGTCTGTGCCTGAGGATTAGTGTTCTGCAGCCGGGCCTTCACATTTGGATGAGGGGAACTAAGACCTGACGAAGGGTTCTGGGGGGTACCGTTAGAGATCAGTGAAGGGACCGGCTGTGGGGGTTGGGCTGCAGGGTACTGTGTGGGGTTCTGAGTTTGTGGAGTCTGGTTTGGGTTCTGGCCACTTATCCGTTCCATCAGTTCTTTTTTGCGCATACCAGCCTGCATCTGTCTGCGCTGCTCTTTGCGCTTGAGGATCTCTTCTCGCAGGCGCTTCTGTTCTTCGATCTTGAGTCTGTACTGACGTGTCTCCTCATCTTCATCTGGGTCCTAAACAATGATGAACATAAATTCAGGATGAAAAAAAAGAGTCAGCTTTATTTTTTTTGGCTGGATGATAAAATGTGCAAATATACAGTATGTTTAAGCTAGTTTAGTTTTAGTGTAATCAAGCTTAAGTGTTCATCTCTCTGCCCAAGTATACACAACAAATCTGAAGGATTGAATACAGTTTGCACATCACTTCCTTTGGTGCACACACACAACAGAGGTCAATTGTAGTCCAATTAAAATGTATACATGCTGGACAGTCAAGCTACATTTGCATTATCTATATTTATTTGTCTGAACTGGTATGATATCAGTCTGACAAAAAAAAAAATGGTATGATTTCAGTCAGACTAAAGTGACTGAAAAGACAAATTATTGCTTTTAACTTACTAAAATTTAAGGCAAGCATTTTCAAAAAACCTTTACTTGTCTGTTTTAATGCCATGACAGCTTATATGGTTATTTTCATGGCAAAACTAAGGTCAGAAATGAAAAAATAATCTTTATAATCTATTTTCTTAAAAAACAAAGCTTTTACAGAAAGTATCAGCACAAAAATAGTAATAAGGTGAGCCATTCAGCCACAACAACAATAGGACTATGCTACACGTAAACTAACCAATGAGTGTATTGCAGTGGAATAATGCAGTTCAAACAGAACAAATATAGCATTTTAAATAGCGGCTACTGCAAAAGTCTATGGGTGGAAAACATGCTGAATGTTAACCCCTCCCACATGATCATGCTACGCAGTATTACCTCTGGACACTCTTTCTGCATCTCAGGCACACTGGGCTGCTCTGATGCTTTGGCAGCTCCCAGCCCTTGTGCCACAGATCCTCCCCTTCCTGCTGGTCCAGCACGGGCAGCCTGCCCTTGTCTAACATTCTGTGTTGCCATGGTAACAGGCTTTGCTTGCCCACTAGGCACTGGCGGGCGGTTATTGTTGCTTGTGGCGATGGGCAGCTCACGGAGGTTGCTGTTGCGTTGAGGGGGAATCTGCTGCAGTGGAGAAGGAGGCATCTGAAGAAGAGGAGGTGGTGGTCATATATATGGGTTGACATTCATAGAAATACTGCAAAGACTGAAAATCGGTCAATTGACAGCAGTTTTGCTCAAAAAGCTTTTGAGCTGACATACACAAATTAAAAATGTTTATTTATAATAAATATTTCTCTTGCCATCTTGCTCACTGCAACAAATACACATTTGAATGGCTAACCATTTTGGGTCTGGCATGGTTGTTTCGTTGCTGGTTGCCCTGTGGTCGTGACTGCATCTGTCTTTGATTCAACTGGCGGAAGTGGGGCTGAGAGAGGTGCACCATGGGATGTTGGTCCCTTGGGTGGTGTTGATGGTGCTGTTGGTGTTGGGGTGGAGGCTGGGAGTGAGGTAGACCCTGGAGGGGCAAGTCCTGTCTGTGTTGCTGGTGCTGCTGGTGCAAGGATTGATGGGATAGTGGCAGATCATGGTGCAGGGGCAGCTGCATTAGACCCTGAATACCACAAAACACAAAGAATACAGCCGGAATAAGACCTAAAATCAAATATACATCAAATAATATAAAACAAAGTTGTAGCCTTGAGCATGTGAATGAATTAGATCCAGCTTAAGGACATTTACACTGAAATGTAGGCCAGTCATGATTGAGAATGTGGGTACCCTTGAAGTCAGCGCTGTATAATTAGTATAATTGTTGTATAAACGCTGTATAATTGTTTCAGTAGTCTTACAGACAGATAATTTGTCACTATTATCTGAATTTACAACTCAAGCCAAGAAAAATAACACCAATTTGTGTTTAATGACAATTAAGAATAAATATTTTCATTAAAGAAAGCTACACCTCTGATGTGTAACAACTAACCCAGTGACCTCAAATAACCATGAACTGATAAACAGTGCTAACACAAGAGGGCAGTCTTATCTGCTGCTTAAAATGAAGACTGCAGCTTCTCCTTGCACAGGCGACCACTACACCTACATGTCTTACAATAACAGGTTTCCAACCAAGCTAAAACACCTTAGGTATGGCTCTTTGCCATATACAGGACTGTTCACAGAGTTTGGGGTCAGTATGATTTTTTTTTTTTTTTAGAAATTAATACTTTTATTCAGCAAGGACAAAATTTTTCAAAAGTGACAGAAATCTTTTGTAACATTATAAATGTCTTTACTGTTTTAACGAAATGCTGTTCTTTAAATCTTTACATTCATAAAAGAATCCTGAAAAAAGTATTACGGTTTAAACAACAAATAAAAAACACTATTGAACACCTATTTCTGAATGATCATGTGACACTGAGGACTGCTAAAGATTCAGCTGTTACCACAGGAATAAATTGTCTTGACATTTTTTTTAAATCGAAAAGTTTTTTTAAATCATAATAATATTTTGTAATATTACTGCTTTACTGTATGTTAGATCAAATAAATGCAGCCCTGGTGAGCATATAAGACTACTTTCAAAAACATTTATAAAATATGTCCAACCCCAAACTTTTGAACAGTAGTGCATGACTGCCGTATTTCCTACTAAATTTCAGGATTGTGGAAAATACAGAATTACAAAATAAATGCAAAATAAGACACTGAAAACTCAATATTTTTTCCTATATTACACTTTTCATGCCAGTTCCATGCCATGCTGTAAATCAACATGCAGTGTTCAAAATTTGTTTATTTCTGGTAAACTGACTTACTCTCTGGCGTACCTGCATACCAAACTGTACGTGCTGGGGGCTAAAGGGGGGTCCCTGCTGTTGGGGCGAGAAGGGCTGTCTGTGACCCACAAAGCCACGGGGACCAGGGGGGCCTCCATGCTGCGGGGCCAAAGCCGGCCGAGGGGGCTCTCTCTGGAAAATACCTCCTCCCTGAGGCCCTTGGTTCTGCCCAAGCACCAGAGAACCAAATCCAGGACTTCGGTGTCCCCCTTGTGGGGGGAAAGATGGAGGGCCTTGCCCTGATAACGGAAGAACACTGTTATTCATGAGGGGGGCAGGGCCTGGCTGGTCAAACATGTGCTGGCCCGAAAAACGTGGCTCTAGAAAAGAGAAAAGAAAGGAATAAAAGACATAACGTGAATGAGAAGCCAGAAACCTACAGCATCAATTCTGACTGCTTCAGTTGCTGGTAAACGACTGGATGGAATAACAAAAGTCAAAACAGATATTCAAAACAATGCAGGTATAGTCTATGCAAGCAACCAGTGTGACCACCTTAAATTGACCTTACCACCAGGGAAGAAGTGCTCTGGATCCCGATGATGTGGCGGTGGTCCTCTCCATTGCTCCTGGTGGGGGAGAGGCCGCTGAGGTGGGCCAAAATTCCCTTGGAGATGTTGCTGGAAATCAGGAGGAGCCTGGAGGAGGACAACCAACAGCAAAAATCACACTGACTCCACAGAAAACATTATGACTATTTCAGCACCAAAATATTGTTGACACATGAGTTTCAAAGCCAAAAAGTTTCTTATTTGTGCTCATTTAAAATGTAACTCTTCATATTAAGATCATAACCATCAGCTTATACCACTGAGAAATTTTTTAGGCAGAAAGAAAACTATTTGCATATACCCTTGAATATAAATCTTTATCCATTCTCAGCGCTTACCTAACCCATTGCTCATAAAACTCAACCCCCCTCTACCTTTCCAGAGGAAAGACAGATAACGATCCTTACTAATCCTGCAGTTGAATATGAATTGAATCCCCTCTCCTTTATTCTTTGAAAATATCCTTTGCTCTTAAGAAATTAGCCTTCGTTCAAAAGAGCCACACTCCAGCAAATTGTGATGCTTAGCACCTCTTTACTCATTATAAATGACTTAAGATGCAATCAAACTTTTAATCCACGTTTTCAGCTCTGATCTTCAGTCGGCCAGTGAGTGTCACCAAGGCCAGCCAAGTTGCTTAACAGAAGGTCAATCAGGCAGCTTAGCTAAGCAACGGCCAGAAGGGAGCGAGAGAGAATCACATTGTTATTGTGGACTTCATTGCTCTATTCAAAAGGTCAGCTCCTATAACACAATGGGAGCTTAAGTACATTCACAATACATTTGCAAGTTTGCATTCATTTGATAAAAGGAGCATGTCCTTTTGGGGGGCTAATCTTTTGTAAATACCCATGGATCTGTTCAATATGTAACCAGTTATGATCTGCCTGGGAGATATAGAGGGAGTGAGAAAGACAAATGCCAAGCATGAGCTGCTGCCATTTTGAAGACAAGCCTCATGTGTCAAAATAAACTCAGCAACTTATTCATTTCTGCTCTGTCTTTAGGTATCTGACAAATTCTCATAGATCAAGGTAAAAAAAAAAAAACGAAATTATAAACGTATATATTCAAAATCATTCAGAACATTACAGCCTGTTACCGATAAAATTTTATCAACACCAACAACAGCCATCTTTAGAAAAATATAACTGAAGCATCTGACATGGCATTTATGTTTGTTTTCACAGACTGTTTAATGCTGCTTATTCATTTTGATTAATAGAATACAAAAAGTGTTTTTGTATTTGGGGAAATGGCTCTTCATATTCTGGCTACATAGACAAAACAAACTAAGAATAGTCTATGAATTAGTTTCATGCTTTTTTACGAATTAGAAAATCAAGACTTCACATTGGTTGTCTTAGCAGCGTAAAAACTATTTTAACAGTGAATAAATTGTATACAGAAAGCAAGCAGAGATTATTTCCCATCATTGACTTCAGTCTAGCAAGAGTTTAAGCACTCAAAAAAACCTCACGTTATAAATCACAGAAGCTGTCTACAGTGTGAAATGAAACTCTTATTTCACCTCTGCACTTTATGATGAGAATTTGTGAGAGTGCAGAATTCAGTGAGTGCGGTGACTAATCTAAACGCCTCTGATTAGCCGCTGCATTCATTCACTCAACAGAAACGTGTGTGACTGATTATAATGCTGAGAACACGGAGAAAAAAAAAACATGTAAAGGAATCAGATGCAATGTCAGCAGATCTAAATGTAATGCTACATTAAACACTTTTCATTGAATTTTCACATTTCACTTTAACGGCAACAGCGGAAGTAGATTTAGTTTAATTGTGCTTTATCTTAAATTTTGGTAGTATTTTTGCCCCAAGCCCTCATTAATTTCTGACCCTGACATACAAACACAAAACATCAAATATGAAAAACAAATTTCTTATATTTCTAGACAAATTCCTTCCATATTTCTACAAGTGTTTTCTATAAAAATGTTCTATACATACAAAAATCCTTCTAACGGTGCTACTTTCTGACATAATAAAAACAATTTATCCATCCAACTAATGCTTCATTATGCAATAAATGTTGTTTACAAAAGAAAATCTAACTTTAAACTTCGACTAACTTGTAAAATGAAGCCAGGCTATGCTTTTTTTAAACAGATTTACTAAAGAGTAATATACTAATTCTGCTAAAAGCAGTATCAAACATAAAATACAATATAAATATGTAGAATGGAGATTAATATTCAAAAACTCTGCAGTAGTAAATATTCATAGAGAAATTATGGATCAGCCTATTGTAAGATGAGATGTGATCATATGCTAATGTATGATAATCAAGTGCCCAGAGGGCTAATGGACAGCGCTCCCTGTAAAATGCCAATGGTATTTTAAATGGTGTCTTGTCTATACCAGACTGGCTATGAGAGGCAGACAGCTGGAAATGTGTCATGAATGTGTGTGTGTGTGTGTGGAACTTCTTTCATATTCAGCAATTTTAGGAATGACCAATCATTTTAAATGTCCACAATGTGTCCAAACAAGGGGTCACAGTACATGAATAGTTGGCAAACACATGGACATAAACTTTCCTTTTCACAATCAGGAATTTAGGTTAGAATTTATAAGAGAAAGTGTATATTTTAGGTGATGTGACATCAGTTTTTACAGTTAAATGGATCTGCTGTGTGATCATTTTTTCCTTCTTTTTAATGCCATGCCAGCTTCACGGCGAGAGCCAGGTTCAGTTATTCAAAATTAAAACTAAAGATGTTTAAAATAATTTTTTTTCTAAATACCTTAAGACTAAATTTGGATTTACTTGGAGTACAATCCAGTAAAATGTGTTTTAATGGACCGTGGATTCTGACAAGATGAACACTTTGGGAAATTCTCTCTTGATAGTAAAAGTTTATATGAGTCTTGAGTGTCCTATCTGACATTGTGTGTAAATGACTTGATCCCAGTGATTATCAAAATGAAATGTTGTTTTTTTTCCATTCAGCACTGATCCCATGAATGAAAACTTTGAATGTAGCACTGCACAGTGCTCATGTCACTGCCATATTCCAAACTGAAACACTGAACTATACATCATTTAGACAGCAATAGTAAAAAGGAAAACAGAGAGGAAAAAGAAGAGAACCGGGGAATCAGAGTTTGGGGGGTTTCAGAAGGCCTCCTCCTCAGCAGTAATCACTTTAGCTACAGCACGGGCAGCTGCCTGATGGTTCCTCTACATCCTTACACACAAGTAAAGGGCTTTTACATCTGTTCTGTTTTTTCACGGTCTCCATTTCGATTTCAACTGGCAGATTCAGCTTACATATGAGGATGTTTTTAGGTTTCTAGAGACATGCTATACACACAGCAAGACAAATATTGCTTTTGGTGGCTACATGCCAGTCAAACCCAGAAATACCATGATGTAACACACTGCAGTTTTATGCAGAGTAAAATCACTTAATTGTAACAAAGCAACGTGAGATTACTTACCGGGGGTCTCTGTGGACCGATGTTAGGCCTCGGTTGGTTCTGCACAGGAGGCATTGAAGGAACTGAGATTAAATGGAAATAGAGAAAGCACGAGTCAGACAGAAAAAGGGATGCAGAACCAGAGAGTGGGGCGAGGTAACACAGACACCATGAAAGTCTCTTCTTGCCACACGTCTAAACCATGGTTTGTCACAGCTGGTCATAGAGAGAGGGCTGTTCTGCTGATTAAACTGTGCATCTCTCTCTCTCGAGCAGACTGGGCCACCTAATGAGATAAACTGACAGTCAAAAGGAGTAATTTCGCTGTGAATCATTTCACCTCCGCAGATGTGTGCATTTCAGAAAGCTGGTTTAATGCTGATGGACTGCCTACAGAGTGAAGGCCATACCAAAGGGGGGAAAAAAAACTCTTAAAAGGACCCGAGCGAAAATGCGAGTAAGCATCAGCCAAAAGTGCAAAGGCCTAAAAATGAACAGGGAATCTGCTTAAGTCGTGAAATAAGGAATACTGTTTCTGGGTCCAAGCCTATACTCATTTAAGTTGAGAACACCATGTCAACAGCCGTTTATGAGCACTATTTAATCATGGTGTCACATTTAACCTAAGCTTAAAAAAAATTACAGTGTATACTACAGTCTCCGGGCTCACGGCATCCCAGACATCAATATTTTTACAATCCATAAAAGATGAATCACTGTCTGGCCATTAAAGGTCAGGAGGATCATGATTTTTTTTTTTAGTAGTATTACACCACACCGTGAGTGTATATTAGCACTGTTAGCCGTTTGTTTTTGGCACCTAATACAGCATTTGGAAATGATGGCGTGCGATGTCAGACTTAAAGGGGTCATGAAATGTATTTTTAAATGATTTCATATTGTTTCCTGAGGTGCGCTTATAATCGTATGGGTTTTTTTCTCCATCAAAAACAGTCAGAATTTAGAGATAAATTGTCATTTTCAACCCTGATTTTAGCCCTCTGATTTGAATGCTCTGTTGGAAGGGTATGTCTAGCTGTGAGACTTCAATATAAATGACTACTGCTGTGATTGGATAATATCTTTGCATATGAAATGAGTATTATAAGTGGAACTCTCTTGAAAACTTTACTGCATTTTTACTATAACAGCCAACAAGATTAACTAACTGTGAAAAGTGTTGATTATAGCATTATTTAGAACTACTCCCATTGAATCAAAGGCTGCAGTGCTGCACTGAAGCCAGTTATGTCTACTAAGTACACAGTGCAATGACCTCCTTATTGCAACGTGATTTCTGTAGTCTCACCGATACTTTCATCATAACTAATGCAGTGAAAACAATGTAAATAAGAGACTGGTTGAGCAGTGTAAAATGCAGAAATCAAATCACTGATAGGCTGGTCTCGAATTGACTGCTTCAGCAATTTGAAAACTATTATTTGAACACTTTGTTTATAAATTAATCATGATATAGATAATAGATGGTTTTCAAGCTACTACCAGGAACAGTTGTTGAACATTTAGTCAGTGGCTTGATTCACTAATGCATAAACAGCAGTAAACTACTTTGGACAAAGAACGTCTACATGAGCCCTAACATATTACACCAATCACAGATCATGATGATCATGAAATGCACTTTTTTGTTTCTCTGAGGTTAGTTTATAAAGTTTGCTAAGTGTTTTGCACCAAAAAAGGCCTTCATTTGATGGACAGAGAGGAGTTGTTTAGAACACCTCCTTGATTACATACAAGAATGACATGTGCTAAGGACCGTGTCGAGGAGAATAGTGGCAATGATTTTCCTGATTTAAAATCTAGGTGTTTAAAAAGGGTAGAAAGGATAACTCATATTTTGAACAGGGGAGTTAGTTTTGAGTTCTTAAACTTGCAGTATGTTTTTATTGCAGAGTAACCTCTATTATGTGTAAATACCAAGACAATTTTGATTCATGACCCCTTTAACAAGCAGACAGGCACTTTACAATGTCAAAGACATGTTACAGCAGATGCTTAGACAGCCTCCATTCACCTAACTACAGTAGTCAACATTTGAAGTGGATCAAAACCTTTCATCAAAGTTGTCCTAAAACCCATTCTTGTCTTAGGACAACTTTGATTAACTTTTTTGATCCACTTCAAATGTTGACTACTGTATATAAAAATCAGGTTGGTGGTCTTTGGGGCCATACCTTGCACAGATGAGGAGGAAGGTCCTCTGAAGTGAGGGTTGATGTGAATGTTCTTGGGGTGATGCTGTTGATGCTGCTGGTGTTGGTTGGGATGTGCATGTGAGTGCCTCAGCGGTGAGTTCAATGAGCGTGGTACGTGCGTGTCATGTTGTGTTTTGGGCCCCGGGGAATGGTGGGCCAGACGTGGCATCAACAGCTGCAGCGGCTGCTGAGGAATTGGGGTGCCCGGATCCGGGAATAGCCCAGGACCTCCACTGCCCCTTGGACCAGGCAGACGAGACTGATGGTGGTGATGCTGAGGTGGAGGAGTCATTCTGAGTTGCTGCTTTAAAAAAAGAGAGGCGAAACAGAAAGACCATCAATCAATAACATAATCTCACTCTCTTTCACCCCAAAAAATCATTATCTTGTAGTGTTGTGACCCTGAGTCTCAAGATGACCCCTTTAATCAAGTAATCAATCATTAGAGCCATGTGACTGGGAGTGAATCTTAATTAAATGAGGAGTTTAGTACAAAATGTTCACGTACGTTCTTAAAAAAACATGCATTGCGCCTCTGTGTCCCCGTTGATTTATGCTAAAGGACAATATCCTATTTTAAATGATGACTGAAGGATTGACTCCTTAAACTCACAAATACACATTGTTGTCTCTTGAAAAACGTATACATTCTAGATTTATTAACTCATCATCAGATGAAGACAACTTGTACTCATAGACAGGGGTGGAGGGGAATTCAATCAAATCATTACAGCAGCGCTGCTATCTATATACCACTGTTTGAAGCATAAAGTAAAAGAACACATCAATGTCGAGGAATGACAAGTTATGTCAAAAGCCTGAAAAGGCTTGCCTTCTCTATGAAAGAAAATCAGCTTTAAAAAAAGAAAAGAAAGAAAAAAAAAAGGTGCAGCTCGAACGAGCAGCTCAAGCGCTAAGGGATTACACCCTCGACAGATATTTAATAATAAAATAAGCGCAGGAAGCTAAATCCTTCAGCAAAGTACAAATTTAATTTGGTGTAATGCTTCCTCAATGGACTGCCGCCAAGTTATTTGCCATAATCCATATATCAACATGGATAAGGGGAAGTGAGAACGGTGATAATTGACTTTTACTCAAAAGCAAACTGACTCCACTCCACAAGGGTGAGACAAGACACAACTGATGCATAATCTTTAACAGCCTCAAAAGGTAAATCTAATTTCAAGAGAACTGCCTGATCACCAAGGAAGTAAAAATTTGTGTTTGCAAACAAAAAAGCTGTCACTACTAAAGTGTCCACTGTCTAAAGTGTCAAATGTTGTAAAGAATGTTACCGTTTATACTAGAGCCCGATATGAGCCTGTCGCCGATATACCGGTATCGGCGAATATGCCGCAGATACGCCGCTGACATGAAAATTTTTTTTACAGAGCATATAATGCAGATAAAATGCTTGAAATGTAATTACTAAGTTTGTCCAGCAGAGCACACTCCATTGTTTGCTACTGGCGACCTGGATGAAATGCTTTAAAGCTTAAATCTATGGAAAACCATTGAAACTTTGAACGGCCATATCTCCGTAACGGCACGGCGGATCCGCACCAAATTCAGGGGGATCCCTTCAGCTTGAGGAACCCTATCGAACGCGAATCGAGTGTACGTCTCGAGGCCCTCTTTCGAATGAGACCACCCCCGTGTCGATAGCCCCCGGGGTTCGGGAGTTACCCGCGGTTAAATTCACGGTCCGGCACCGACTGATCTAGCGATCCCGGGGGGCTACCGACGCGCGGAGGGTGGCGTTCAAGAGGGCTCCTGGAGCTGAAGGGATCCCCCGAATTTGGTGGAGATCCGAAAGCGCGTTCGCGAGATAGTGACACCAGCCAACACTTTCACTTCAGTAAGGAGGTCTCTTGTTCAGGCAGCAGCATTCAAGCGTTGGCTTATTCGACCGTAAGTGCCCTGCGAAGTGGACTTCACATGATATTCCGCCATGATTCCAGTTCCAAGGGTACGTACACGTTGCATTCAAAGGGCATTAAAGTGCGCGAGACTTGAATTTATATTTATTTACAGAGGTAAATTATGTCGGGATCCCTTCAGCTCGAGGAACCCTCTCGAACGCGAATCGAGTGTACGTCTAGAGGCCCGCTTTCGAATGAGACCACCCCCGTGTCGATAGCCCCCGGGGTTCGGGAGTTACCCGCGGTTAAATTCACGGTCCGGCACCGACTGATCTAGCGATCCCGGGGGGCTACCGACGCGCGGAGGGTGGCGTTCAAGAGGGCTCCTGGAATAGTGACACCAGCCAACACTTTCACTTCAGTAAGGAGGTCTCTTGTTCAGGCAGCAGCATTCAAGCATTGGCTTATTCGACCGTAAGTGCCCTGCGAAGTGGACTTCACATGATATTCCGCCATGATTCCAGTTCCAAGGGTACGTACACGTTGCATTCAAAGGGCATTAAAGTGCGCGAGACTTGAATTTATATTTATTTACAGAGGTAAATTATGTCTCACAAGTTCCATCTGTGTGTGAAGACAGTAGCGCAAATCCGTGAATGAATGTTCCAAAGTGAAATAAACTTCAACGGAATAAAGTTGAATGGAATTGAATTCAATTTGAATAAACTTCAACTTTACTGTTCAGTGCACTGATGTCAGACTCATTTTGAATAAAGTTTATTGTTAAATTGTTAAATGCCCTGCCTCCATCATTACATATCTTTGTCACGTCATTATAAGTGTTTGATCACCACATTTGAGTGATCATTGCAAAAATGTGTTTATGTATATATATTCTGTTTATGTATAAACTGTATTCTATATATACTACCAGTCAAATGTTTGGACACACGAATGGGAAAGTGTCCAAACTTTTGACTGGTACTGTACTATAATATACACAAAGAATATCGGCCGATATATCGATATCTGCCTTTTTTTTACTCCCAAATATCGGTATCGGCCCCAAAAAACCCATATCTGTCGGGCTCTAGTTTATACACTATCTTTCAAAAGGGGTCAGTAAGATGCTTACCAAGACTGCATTTATTTGATAAAAAATGCTGTAAAACAGGGATGTCCAAACCTGTTCCTGGAGGGCCACTGTCCTGTAGAGTTTAGCTCAAAACCCTAATTAAACACACCTGAACCAGCTAATGAAAGGTCTTCTGACTCACTAGAACAGTGATCCTCAAATCTGGCTCGCGAGATCCACTTTCCTGCAGAGTTTGCTCACAAGATCCACTTTCCTGCAGAGTTTAGCTCCAACCCTATAAGCAAACAAATCTACCTGTGATTTTCTAATGATCCTGAAGACATTGATTAGCAAACTCAGGTGTGTTTGATTAGGGTAGAGCTAAACTCTGCAGGAAAGTGGATCTCGCGAGCCAGATTTGAGGATCACTGCACTAGAAATTTCCAGGCAAGCAAGTTGGAGTTGGTTGGAGCTAAAACATGCAGGACGTTGGCTCTCCAGGAGCAGGATTGGACTCCCCTGCTGTAACACTTTAATATAGCAGACCTGCCAATGTTGGGAAATTGAGTACCATGTTGTGTTTAGTTCACATGCTTTAGCAGCACTTTACTTTGCACGGTCATTAAAATCGGTTATGAAGAAGACGGTACAATCATATATTCTTGAGGAAAAGACTACTGTTTGTTAGCATGTTTGAATAGAAATCTAATTTCAGTTCAGATCGTGGTTTCTGATTGCTGGGAACATTTTTACACATGTTCAAAGTTTTGGTCATATAATTAATTGAAAACTGGTATGCCTCTTAAGTTCACCATCAAGCAATTCAAATACTTCTCTCCTAGTAGACTCTTCTGATTTACAAAACTTGATCAACATCACAACTACTCTCCCAAGACTGGCATCAAAAATCTTAACCACAATGAGGTACTTTTTTATGTCCTCTACATCTGTGGGGTATAATTGTATAACCAAATGTAAAAATTAAACAACGCATTGCTACTCAGTCAAGAGCAGTGAGTGATTTGTTCTTTTTATTTAGCTGTTTGATTAACATTAATGACACAGACAGCAGCAGGTAAATTAGGCTGCTGAAGAATGGATCCAATATCCCAATACACATCTGATTTTCTGCCAACTGTTTACATTCATTTAAGACAACCAACTGTTTATCTGAATACTCAAGACTTTTTTTTAACCATTTTGTGTGCATTTGACCATTTAAATATAATAAGCCAGACAGCACGAGTAAAGTGTTTATGTGGCTTATAGCGTTTAATCATTCTTTTTAGCATCGAGGACGTCCCGCTTTTGATTTTCTCATTCATGCATATTACTTTATCGATTTAACATGTTAATAACTTTAAGCAGTCCTGCACTCTGCGGGTATATTTACTTCGATAACGTTCAAAATGACAAGGTTCCAGAATAGAGTGTGAGTAGAAGTGGAATGCTATCAAATCAAAACTAAAGTGAATCAGTACAATTTCAGTGTGAACACAGTTTTATTCATTTGGTTCACCTGGTCTACATTTAGTCCTTTCAAAGATAACGTTAATGAACTCTAATGTACCATTATAACATTATTATCATATTACAATAATACATTTTGCTCTCTCACCTGAAGAAAGAAAAATGTGTATTTCAGGACCACTCTAAGCCTAAATTCACACAACTGAAAAATTTGTAATCCCTATGAAATTAAGTAGTAATGCACTGATACTGGTTTCGGTATTGGGCCCAATACTGAGCTCCTGTACTCGTACTCATAAAATAGTTTTTATCGGCATCGTTCTGGAAAAAGTAATATTGGTGCATGCCAAAAATTTATGTTAATGCTTTCATAATGTTGTGAGGAGTCTGATTTACAATTTACTGACTGTGATGTTTTATTAAAAAAAAAATCTCCTTTATCCACTTGCAACAATGACAACTGCGCACACCTTTTGCAATGACAACTTGGCTGATAATAATTGCTGGTCATATGATTTGTGCATCTCAAATTTTTTAATTAAAGGTGTCATATCACAAAATTTTATTTGTGTTATTAGAACAGGTTCAGTTGGAGCATTTGTATTGTGTGTGTGTGTGCGTGTCATTTCAGACCGTCAGTCTCTTACCTGCATTCCCAAGTTCACTTGCATCAGCGGAGGCCTTTGCTCATTTATTCTCCCTCGACCTCCAACACCACGAAAACCTCCCATTCCAAATAGAGGGAAATCGCCTCTTCCACTGACTCCTCGTCCTCCTGGTCCTCCCCTTCCCCTGAACCCACCTCTAACCGCCATTCCTCCCCTCCCTCCATCTGCTCCTCTCCCTCGTCCTCCAAAACGGCCCTGCTTCCTCTGACGTTCCTTTTCCTCAAACTCCCACAGATCTGCTTTTGCTTCATCAGAGAGCTCTGAAAGGAAAGACAAATAAAAATACAGATTTATTTGATAATGAGAGTTACGATAGTGATATTTGAAAAATGAGGCAGTTGATAGTTATGAAGGATCAATTTAACCTTTTTCTTCCTGCTCATAAATAGGATAATGTCAATAAACTGATATTAATATAATAACATTTTTGTTTATAAGCACTTGGCTACTCAACTTAAAAATCAAGTAAAAAAAAAAATGGGACACACTGCCAGCTTTTTAAAAAAGTCTGAAATGTTACGGTCACAATTTTAGCCATCAAAACAGAATATAAAATTACATCAGAAACATGAGCTACACTTAAAAATGTATAGATACAAAAGGACATTAGATAATGGTCAGATTTATATTTTCAGTTCACCTTACAGCCTTCACTGATGACCTTATGAACATCTGATGAACAAAAATATATTGGTAAAACTCTATAACTAGAAAGGCTTTGCTCATTAATATTATTTACATTATGTCATATTAACCCAGTAGGTCTACCTTATTAACTGAAAGGAACTGTAGTATTTAGAATAATGGTCAGGTGACTCAAAACAAGACTATAGCTCTATTCGGATGGTAGCTGTTTTTCATGTGGACATCTGTAAAAATAAATTTACATGGCACCTCAGTGATAAAACTCATGGATTCAGATGTCAATTTATTCACAGTGGAGAAGTGAGTTCTGGGATCCTACAAACCTGGGAATGCGCTGCTCTTGTGGTCAGTCGCATGATTGTCTGCTGTAAATAAAATGTCATAGGCTTGGAATAATAAGAATAAATTCATATTTAATTTAATAACAGAACAACAATATCATTTTTATTATGTGATCATTTAAATTGCCTGTTCAAAAATAGGAAAATAGACGCATTTGAAATGGTTTTGCAAAATCTCTTGCAAAATGATGAATGTCATTAAAAATGTTGAGATTAGGAGAAATAAGCTAATGCAACCTCTTATTTACATAAGATAAACACAAAGCTGCTCGGTTTATATTTTTATGTATATAATCGCTGCCATAATAATGACCCATTTCAAATGTTCACGTGCTTTTCCTCTTTCTTCTTTTTGTTCTTAACAACTCCCAGTATCTGTGGTGAAGCAGTTACGAAATATTGGTCTTGTAAATACTTCCCCCATTATTTCAGTAATAAATATGCTTGCAAATGACAGAAAAGTGCAACAGTTAACGTACGGTGTTCGGCAGTGGTCAAAAACGATTTAAACAGTGAATTTTGCACCGATTTCTTCTTGTAAACTCAGAGATGTGGATTCGAACGGCAATTACTTTACCACACAAAAAAAAAACAGTAGGTAATTCGGCGGGGGATTTTTACACGGGTGGTGGGAGAAAAACACTGTTATTCTGGATTCGGATGGCAATAAAATAATAGACTAACTCCTGTAAATGCTGAAAATATCTTACGTCCACATGAGAAACAATTACTGTCCAGTTTTTTTCTTAGGGGCTTATGTAAGATTTTTATACCTATAACAGTACAAAAAGGTGCTTCATTTGTCTGTAACTAACCTAATGTATCTGGGATGTTCCTTCTTTTACTGGTGGCATCAGAGAGTCTGACCACTGTGTCATCTTTGCGCTCTGTCTTAAATCGCAGGCGGCCGGATTCTTCAACATCTTCCTCCTCCTCATCGGACTCCTCTTTTACATCAGTGTCCAGCTCAGCCTCTGGATCGTTTTCATTCTCCACCTGAAACATAGAGAATATATATATCATCAGACTCATACTGTGTGACTTTAAGCATCTCCATGAAAGATAAGAGCAAACATTATTAGGGCTGTGTATCACCAGCAAAGTCACGATACGATACGTATCATGATACAGGAATTTCACTGCACTGAATTTCACCTCAGCAGAATTTAGTAAAATAGCTGTTTATTAAACACTGCATACTATAGTGCCATTGCTAACTATTAGCAATTATAGTTATACTAATTGCTAACTATTAGACCTCTGCATTATGAAGGGCCTCCATAACTCTACCACAGTACAATATAGGTAATGGCATATGTTTCATGTTTACATTGGGCACTCCCCACCAGGTACAACATTCTGATTGTTTGCAAATTGTTTTTAAGCCCATAAATAATAATGTACTTGTTCTAATAAATTTATATTGTAATGTACTCATAATAATATATTTTAAAAAAATCATCTTTACATTGCTGGTAGGTTATCATTGCACAAATTAACACACTCTCTACGTTTAAAAACTAAAACTAAAAATTAGAAGAGTTCTAAACTAATGCGCTGTCTTCACTGTATCTCACGCTCAGTCACTCACACAGATCACGCTGCGGCTGCACTCAGGCATTCAGCAACACAAACTTATAAGCGCTGCCCTGCAATTTTATCAATAAAATAGCTTAATCGCTTAAGAGCTACATTATCTTTCTCAACAAGTAGCTGGTAACATCATTGTTTCTAAAGGACTTAAAGCCACAGCTTCACTGTTAATTGAGAAATGAGGCAAAACGGTGGTAATTCATACATATACAGCCTCTCTCTCATATAAATTAACACTTGATGAATTACACTTTTCTGAGAATAGAATATTGAAGTGGAGATCGCTAAACTGCAAGCTTACCAGTGTTTTCTGAAAGCAGGTGCGTTTATCCACAGTGGAGAGAGAGCGTGTGCACTAGGGCTGCCACTAACGACTATTTTTATTTTGATTAATCTACCGACTAATTTGTCGATTAATCTAAACTATTAATTTCCCGCAAAATAAACAACTATTTTACTTAAGAATATTTTATTAAACTATATTTTATTAAACCAAATGAAATCCAAATTTCTATGAATTCCTTTTTTTAAAGCAAAAGTCAAGTGCAATATAGAGTGCAAGAAGCAAGTGTCCATCTCATAGTCCAAATCACTAACTCTAAATGAAATCCAAATTTTTATGAAATCCTTTTTTAAAGCAAAAGTAAAGTGCAATATAGAGTGCAAGAAGCAAGTGTCCATCTCATAGTCCAAATCACTAGAGCTGCCACTAACAACTATTTTTATTTCGATTAATCTATCGATTAATTTGTCGATTAATCTAAACGATTAATTTCCCACCAAAAAACACAACTATTTTACTTAATAATATTTTATTAAACTATATTTTATTAAACCAAATGAAATCCAAATTTCTATGAAATCCTTTTTTAAAGCAAAAGTAAAGTGCAACATAGAATGCAAGAAGCAAGTGTCCATCTCATAGTCCAAATCACTGAAATCAAAGTTCAGTATTATAGTGTAAGAATGACAACATATCCACGTGTTCTAGTCTACTAATAATAAAATTATAATAAAAAAATTTTTTTTAAAGGAGTATTTACCAGAAATGTTATTTACCAGAATTTATTTAGGAGAAAAATGTAAATGTGCAGTATTTCTGAAAAAAATAAATAAAAGAAAATAAAAAATAAAAAAAAATAAATTAATTGGAGATGCTTTTGATTATTAAAATTTAATGGAACCATTAAAATGGAATCCAGAAAATAATGGAAAACAGAATTTGGTAAAGATAAAACTGTAAAACTCAATTAATTAGACAGGCTTTTTCATTAATGACATTTAATTTAACCATTAATGCAAGAAGCAAGTGTCCATCTCATAGTCCAAATCACTGAAATCAAAGTTCAGTATTATAGTGTAAGAATGACAACATATCCACGTGTTCTAGTCTACTAATAATAAAATTATAATCAAAAAACACTTTTTAAAGGAGTATTTACCAGAAATGTTATTTACCAGAATTTATTTAGGAGAAAAATGTAAATGTGCAGTATTTCTGAAAAAAATAAATAAAAGAAAATAAAAAATAAAAAAAAATAAATTAATTGGAGATGCTTTTGATTATTAAAATTTAATGGAACCATTAAAATGGAATCCAGAAAATAATGGAAAACAGAATTTGGTAAAGATAAAACTGTAAAACTCAATTAATTAGACAGGCTTTTTGATTAATAAAATGTCATTTAACCACTAAAACAGAGTATAGAAAAATGAAAATAAAACGGATTTCATAGGACCCTATAATTATAATTAATTTTTTTGTGGTAATAAAAATAGAAGTGAACAATAGCCTTTAAAATTACTTAAAATACATATATAATAGCAATGAGGCAATAATAATTAGTTCAAATAAAGTATCAAAAGCGAGTAATCTCATGGTTTTATTGAACAAAACTGTTAAAATACATAATGTATTATGTTAAAATACATAATGTATTACGTTGGGCAACGGCCTGATGATTATTTTTACACATCTAATCCTTGTTTAATATTGACCAAGCACTATTTCATTCAAATGTCCACTTAATCTTTAATATTTGGCCATTTCTTTATGACAGAAATGCTATAGCCACTGTAATTTCTTGAATATGTGGACATCAAAAAGTGTAAACTCAGAGTGAGGGTTTGAGCTTTTATTTTGAAACCGCGATGTATTCTCCTGAGTTTGCGTAGATTTATAAATGATTTACCTTACAAATCTGATGAAATGGAGCATGTTGCGTTCCCAGATGAACGTTATAATAAACCCACTCACAACAACATGCAGAGATGGAGTTTGAGATGCTCTACACATGTAAATGATAACAGTTCCTGTGGAACTACTGTGAAAGGAGCTGCTGTGTGACGCACGTCCTTATCCTACACGCATGTAAATAATTAAAGCGCATATACTGTATTAGAACTGCATCGCATATAATTATTTAATTAAATCGTAGCGTTTGTGAATTCACAATTATGCTTAATTATGATTTTTAAATGGGTTTAATATATCATGCAGCCTTGGGAAACAGTCTAATGTGTTTTATGGATTCTCGTCCGTGAAATGCGCCACTTCCGGTATTTTGCCAGTTAGTTGACGCGAGCAAAATGAAGTCAAGGATTTTTAAAAATCGAATAGTCGAATAAAATCGACGAATCGCGACAGCCCTAGTGTGCACATGGTTGCCAGGTTGACAAAGATAAGTAACACACTTATCAGATATTTCCGTATTGCGCAAGTGTGAAGCTCTGTTTCGTGGATTACGTAGGCAACCCAGTTGTGTTGCTCTGCGGCCAGATTAAACCTTGTTGTAGACCAGTGGTTCTCAAACCTGTCCTGGAGTACCCCCTGCCCTGCATATTTTGTATGTCTCCCTCATCTATCACACCTGATTCAACTCATCAGCTCATTAGTGGAGACTGCAAGACCTGAAGTGGGTGTGTCAGATATTGGGAGACATACAAAACGTGCAGTGCTGGGGGTACTTCATGGAGAGGTTTGAGAAACCCTGTTGTAGACTTACAGAGATTGGGAGACATACAAAACGTGCAGTGCTGGGGGTACTTCATGGAGAGGTTTGAGAAACCCTGTTGTAGACTATAGTATATGTTATGCTCTATTCATTATTTTTTTAGAAACCTCACACTTTTCTACTCCATTTTAAACAGTGTTTTTGTATTCAAATTAAGCGCGGTCCACTGCTGCACACGTGCAACAATATTATATAAATACTTTCACTTTGAAATAGCGGCAATTCGGCGTGAAGCAATTGTTCGTTTTTAGTTCGTTTGAATTTTCCCTCTTTTCCTCGCTTTCCTTCGCTTTTAAATAGCTTGTAAAAACGGCATGCGCATTTTACTTTCACTTTCAAATAGGGGCAGTTCGGCGTCAATTGCTTGAATGCAACAACAAAATACAACGTCAAACTCACTTTAGCCTATATATAAAACATAGAACTTTTATTAATAAAACAAATAAATGTCTCACTATATGATGATATGAACACGAATGTCATCTCCAGCTGCTCTGAGAGTCACTTCCTTAGCATTTTACCATTTCATTTGAGAAAACTACCATCATATCATATACACAGCAGCTGCAAGTTCCTCACGGCAACCCGTCAAAATAAAAGTTTAATTTAACGTTAAGAAACTGTCAGAATATATTACTATTTAGCAGTTTTAAGACTCGATGCTACTACTGCTAATAAATATTAATAAATCTTTATTTTTAAAGGAATAATCACATCTGTTTTCTTTTTAATTTTAACAGTAAACCTCTGTTGTGCAGCACTTTGTTTGCCAAAAAATAAAAGGGTTTAATTTTCATTTGATTAGTAAAAATTAAATTAATGTTTTATGCCTTCATCTGATTACCAGAAAAAATAAGAACATTTTATAGGGCCCTATTATTGTTTAAAAGAGGACCCTATACAAAAAAAAAAGAATATGTTTAAAATACAGGCAATGTGGTTCTTAATTTCTTTTTATTAATTCACCATTTGTAAACTGATGTTTACTGTTCATTTTTTAGAAATATCAATAGCATTTGTATTAAAACTATATTCACTTAACGTAATCAAAAAATCGAGAATCGAATCGAGTGCTTGCGAATCTAAATCGAATCGGGACATCTGAATCGATACCCAGCCCTAGTATCGATGTATCGAACACAGCACTAAACAATATCTGAAGCAGCCATTCTTTACCTCCTCTAATTCTTTAACCTGAAAGCGGTCCTGCTCCTCAGTTTCCTCCTCCTCAGGCACTTCTTGTCGGTCAGTCTGCTCTTCCCTATACACAGTCGGGTATTCATCCACCTGTGAAGAACAATCAAATATTTACTCCATTCAATGGAAATTCAAGCAGGACTTTAACATCAGGGCTAAACTGATCTCTTGTACTTCATCCACTGAAACACCTGCTGCGGTGCGTGTCGTAGGTCGGCACAACCAGAACCTGTTCAATGCCAAAACGACACTGATGAAGATAAAACATTAGAATGAAGCAAAATCACTTCTGAATGAAAATGTTAATGCCACATCTGAGAGAGCGGCAAGAAAGGCTCAGTGTAGCATTCTAAAGTTGGGGAGGGGAGGGGCGCACTGAAGTGGAGTCTTTCTAAATTAGCATAACAGTAGGAGCCCAGTCTCATTACTATGCCCTATTACCATTCCTGCTGATATTTGAAATTCAATGAGATGTAAATGTTTGACACGATACACAGAGAATGGGAGATAAACATGCACACGGCTCAGTGGTGGTGAAAATATCATTGACTGTGTTGTCTTTACACACACACACACACACACACACACACACACACATATATAAACAGACACAAAGAAAGCTCTGGCGCACACATAATTCACTGACAGGGAACATATCATCATGTGACTCTGAGCAAATTCTCATACACGCTCAAGCACAGAATGTACAAAAGCATCCGGAGAGATGGGCGCACACTTCTGCTGACTACCTTGATGAATCTCACGTCCTCCGCCACAGATCTTGTCCCCTTCCGCACGGTCTCGTCTCTGCTTCTATAGCCACCACAGGTCCGCTCTCCATCCCCCTGCTATACCTACAGGTCCCGTTTCTGTCCATCTGTTAAAGCCTACCGGGCCACTAGCCCATTCCCTCTGCTAAAGTCCACATTTCACTCCTTAAATTGAGATTTTATTTTGGCTGTGGGAAATCTGAATACACTGCAATCAACCTGACACACTAAACTCAGTAATCTGAAGTAGAAGTGGGCAGTATTGAATTAAAACTACTCACAATATAGTCATGTTTGCTTTCACAACAACTACTTAAGCTAAATAGCTACGCTGTAAAGCCGTTTTTGGATATTCGAGTGATTTAAAATTTACCTCATTGTGCTAGTACCTTGGAATCCCATCCCCGCAGGGAAATAACACTGTGACAACACTGGTAAAACATCTAGCATACAATAAAGTAACTAACATATGTCTGTTAGTGATGTGACTAATGTGCATAAATAGGCAAATACGTTTCAAAATTCAGTCAAGCTGTCTGTAATGACAAGGTACTGATCTAAATAAAGTCGGTTATGTCTTACGTTAATGTAAACAGGCAGGACAAAAAAATGAAACAAACAAACATTTTTAAAGTTGGGTCAAAAGCAGTGGTTCTTAACATTTTTTTTTATTCAAACGCCGTGCATTGTCCAATACAATAATCAAACGATCCACATTATAAGATTTTCTGCCTTTCTGCTGTAATTATGACAAAGCTGCTTGTTTTCTAGCTTGTTAACTTTTTTATTAACAGAAACTGAAAGTGTTCATATTTTACATTTAATAACCACAATTCATTTTGTGATCCCAGTTTCAAGAACTGCATGTTCTTAAATAAAAACTACTATATATTACTACTATATTCTTAAAAAAAAAAAAATTATGCTTTTTTAGCATTTTAATTTAGAGTTAGATTATTTTGATATATTAATAACAATTGATTAATTTAAAAGATTTTAAGTCATCCTCCATCCCTCTTGGATGTTTGCTGAGGCTCCCTGGTTACAAGCCACTGATCTAATGATTAAGGAAACTGTACAACCAATTTTAATTACAGACTTGCTTTTCAGTCAAACCACATGTACTCTTCATTTTCAAATAACAACAAAATCCCCCTCCTCTTAGCTTATTTGGGACATGTCCCACTCTGCACTTTTGTATAACTCTGTTTCTTCACTGATCTTACAGGTAAGTAACATAAAAAACCAAAAGCAGTATTTCTCACTTATAGCCATGCACATATATTAGTCTTGCCAACATCCTTATAGTGACTAACTTTTCACCTTTAAGCACTAGCACATGATTCAATAGCAATTATTGTCAGAGGGCACCTTTTATAATGCATTTAGACAACACAAATTTCACTGCCATGGAAAGTCAACAGTGCTCAAGCAAACTTATATTGGAAGAGACAGTGTTTTTTTCCAGTCATATCATTGAGAAAATGTGTGCTGTGTGCCATTACAAAACTCTCCAGGTCATTTTGCGACTGTGAATCCAGATCTCAGTAGTAAGAATAAGCCTTTATTATAATAAAGAACTAACATTGAACAGACAAACTTGCAAAATGTGATTCGAGGGCAAGCCCTCCGTGCACCTGTCAGCACTGTCCTGGACACCGATGATCAAGCGATCACATGGCTAGGCAGAATGATCAATGACATCTGTCCTGCATTAAAGGTCAATGAAAGACAGAACAAAAGAAGCAGTCTGACGAGCCTTGACTCCTGCAGGATTTTATCAATCTCTCTGACTTTGTGTAAAGTGACTAACCCTGATGCTTCATGACCACACTTCCCCAAACAATTTCTAGGTTCTGGAATATTTTGTTTGTCTTTGAACACTGAGTACTAGTACACACACAAATTAGTAGTGCACGCATTTAATAGGAATTTAATCAAAATCCCAGTTTTGGTACAGAAATCTCAACTTCTAGTACAAGTCTCAATTAATATAAAAAAAAAAAAAAAAGTATGTGATACAAAAAATATATAATAATAATAATAAAACAAAAATTCTGCTCAACATATCCACGTGTTCTAGTCTACTAATAATACAATTATAATCAAAAAACACTTTTTAAAGGAGTATTTACCAGAAATGTTATTTACCAGAATTTATTTAGTAGAAAAATGTAAATGTGCAGTATTTCTGAAAAAAAAAAAAAATATATTTGTCCACTTAATCTTTAATATTTGGCCATTTCTTTAGGACAGAAATGCTATAGTCACTGTAATTAAAAGAATATGTTTTAATTATGATTTTAAATGTGTTTAATATATCATGCAGCCTTGGGAAACAGTCTAATAATGTGCTTTATGGATTCTCGTCCGTGAAATGCGCCACTTCCGGTATTTTGCCGGTTAGTCGACGCGAGCAAAATGAAGTTGAGGATTTTTAAAAATCTAATAGTCGAATAAAATCAACGAATCGCGACAGCCCTAATATATTATATAACATGTCAAAGTTGGCCTTTTCACTTGTAGCATCTCTCCAAAAGAGAAAGAAAAAATGCATCTTGATAATGACCTGTTTGGAAACTACATTTTGCCTTTGTTTATTTAGTTCAATTAAATACAACTGATAATTACATGTAATATACATTGCTACTCTTCTTTCATAAAATCTGCGATATCTTGATCTCAGACATTAGAAAAACCATGGAGTTGTCATGTCTAAACCAGAGGCGCATTTGGTATTGCTGACAAGCCCAGGAAGTCTTTAAGATGCATTATGACTTAAGACTGGTATGATCTCAGAGAAATTCACTACAAGCAAATGTCCTCTACAGAGGACAATGAAGAATTGCCAGGTAGCAGACGCCAAATGTGAAGAACTGTATACCAAGCATAACACAAAGTCGGACATACAGACAGACCTAAATGACTGACATATTTCCTGCACAAAGCACATGAACTGACCACCTACAGGGCAAATAGTTAATCCTTTAAACTGTTCCACACATTAACTCTGGATAACAGTAAACACAAAGATGCTAAGCCCCAGCAGCTAAGTGACCTTGTAAACAGCGATATCACATGCTCAAACAAAACGCAGAATTTCAAGCAGCATTTAAAGGGGTCATATGATGCGATTTCAATTTTTCCTTTCTCTTTGGAGTGTTACAAGCTCTTGGTGAATAAATAAGATCTGTAAAGTTGCAAAGACTAAAGTCTCAAATCCAAAGAGATATTCTTTATAAAAGTTCAGAGTCAATCACGCCTACCTAAAACGGTTCATTCTAACACGCCCCCACATGTCTACGTCACGATGTGGGAAGATTAGCATAACACCGCCCAATGTTCACGCAAAGAAAGGCGGCGTAACTTTGATTCTCGCTGTAGTATTGTTGTTGCTGTGTGTTTCGTTGTGAAAGCGAAACTACTTTGTTTGGCCTTCCAAAAGAGGACGATATCCGCTTCGTCATGCCTAGAGCTGATCCATGCTGGTCGCTGAGGAAATACATCAACTTCGCGCTGTGGATCGCCGGATCGGCTTTCACCGTGGACAAAGCGGAGTCCAGCCCGGGGTCATCACATGTGATTGCCGAAAGCCCGCCGGCCTCCGCTCACTCTAGCCCTCCAGCCGCCGCTCACTCAAGCCGCCGGCTCTTTTGGAAGGACACGACTAGAAATCAGTGGTTAAGTTGTATTTACAACACTGTTCCAGAACACTTCAACCCAAATATTCAGATGTGT